TTACAGCTCTACAAACTTTCAAAAGCAATTTATTCTCATTTCTATTTGCATTTATGTATCACGATTAACAATAGCTAAAAACCATGAAACCTAAACTGAACATATTTAACAAACGGTCGGTCCTACTTGGACAGTACACATAGACCTCTAGCGCTCATTAATAGGACTGTATAGAAAGCACACAGACTATCCCAGCATAGTGTGACCGGCTCAGTACACATAGACCTCTAGCTCTCATTAATAGGACTGTATAGAAAGCACACAGACTATCCCAGCATAGTGTGACCAGCTCAGTACACATAGACCTCTAGCTCTCATTAATAGGACTGTATAGAAAGCACACAGACTATCCCAGCATAGTGTGACTGGCTCAGTACACATAGACCTCTAGCGCTCATTAATAGGACTGTATAGAAAGCACACAGACTATCCCAGCATAGTGTGACCGGCTCAGTACACATAGACCTCTAGCTCTCATTAATAGGACTGTATAGAAAGCACACAGACTATCCCAGCATTAGTGTGACCGGCTCAGTACACATAGACCTCTAGCGCTCATTAATAGGACTGTATAGAAAGCACAGACTATCCCAGCATAGTGTGACCGGCTCAGTACACATAGACCTCTAGCCTCATTAATAGGACTGTATAGAAAGCACAGACTATCCCAGTATAGTGTGACCGGCTCAGTACACATAGACCTCTAGCTCTCATAATAGGACTGTATAGAAAGCACACAGACTATCCCAGCATAGTGTGACCGGCTCAGTACACATAGACCTCTAGCGCTCATTAATAGGACTGTATAGAAAGCACACAGACTATCCCAGTATAGTGTGACCGGCTCAGTACACATAGACCTCTAGCTCTCATTAATAGGACTGTATAGAAAGCACACAGACTATCCCAGCATAGTGTGACTGGCTCAGTACACATAGACCTCTAGCTCTCATTAATAGGACTGTATAGAAAGCACACAGACTATCCCAGTATAGTGTGACCGGCTCAGTACACATAGACCTCTAGCTCTCATTAATAGGACTGTATAGAAAGCACACAGACTATCCCAGCATAGTGTGACCGGCTCAGTACACATAGACCTCTAGCGCTCATTAATAGGACTGTATAGAGAGCACACAGACTATCCCAGTATAGTGTGACCGGCTCAGTACACATAGACCTCTAGCTCTCATTAATAGGACTGTATAGAAAGCACACAGACTATCCCAGTATAGTGTGACCGGCTCAGTACACATAGACCTCTAGTGCTCATTAATAGGACTGTATAGAAAGCGCACAGACTATCCCAGTATAGTGTGACCAGCTCAGTACACATAGACCTCTAGCGCTCATTAATAGGACTGTATAGAAAGCACACAGACTATCCCAGTATAGTGTGACCAGCTCAGTACACATAGACCTCTAGCGCTCATTAATAGGACTGTATAGAAAGCACAGACTATCCCAGCATAGTGTGACCGGCTCAGTACACATAGACCTCTAGCTCTCATTAATAGGACTGTATAGAAAGCACACAGACTATCCCAGTATAGTGTGACTGGCTCAGTACACATAGACCTCTAGC